GTTCGCGTGTTCGGCGAATTCCCCGCCGCCACAGAAAGAAAGAAACTGCAGCGGTTTTTAGCTCGCCCAGTGCGGAGCGGTTTTTCTTTCCCTGGGACATATATGTCCACCCAACCGCGCCGCCGCTCGCGCCGCCTCGCGCCCGCCGCCTCCACCGCCGCTCCCTCGCCAGACACGCCGCCGCCCGCCCGCCTCCTCGACCTCCCCACGGAGCTCCTCGTGCGCGCCCTCTCTCACTGCGACCCCGCCAACATCGCTCGCGTCGCGGCCGTCTCGCTGCTCTTCCACACCTCGCTCGCGAAGGAGGCCATCCGCTTGTGGGCGCAAGAGCGCGGCTTCGAGCTGCCGGCGCAGCCAGAGGACGAGGGCTGCGCCGTGCGCTGGCTGTGCTTCGCTGCGCTGCTGCGCGAGTCCAACCCGCCGGCGAAGGCGGCGGCCACAGCCTCTTCATCGACGGCGAGGGGCGGCTCTCGTCGTGCGGCTATGCGCCGCGTCACGTCCCAGGCCTCCTTGGCCACGGCGAGGGCGTGACGCGGCTCAACACGCCGACCCGCCTCCCTTCTCCACTGGGAGGCGAGCGCGCCGTGAGCGTGTCGGCTGGAGATGGCCACAACCTCGCCCTCACCACCGACGGCGCTGTCTGGAGCTGGGGTGAGGGCAACCTTGGCCGCTTGGGCCACGGCGACCAGCAGGCACAGTGGCAGCCCAAGAAGATCGAGGCCTTTGCTGGCCAGCGCGCCGTCGCTGTGTCGGCTGGAGCATATCACAGCCTCGCCATTACCGCCGACGGAGCTGTCTGGAGCTGGGGCTGTGGAGATGGCCACGGCGACGCGCAGACCCAGCTGCTGCCCAAGAAGGTCGAGGCGTTGACTGCCCGGCGCGTCGTCGCTGTGTCGGCTGGAGACAACCACAGCCTCGCCACCACCGCCGACGGCGCCGTCTGGAGCTGGGGCTTTGGAGGCCAAGGCCGGCTGGGCCACGGCGACGCGCAGACCCAGCTGCTGCCCAAGAAGATCGAGGCCTTTGCTGGGCAGCGCGTCGTCACCGTGTCGGCTGGAGCATACCACAGCCTCGCCATTACCGCCAACGGAGCTGTCTGGAGCTGGGGCTGTGGAGCCTACTGCCAGCTGGGCCACGGCGACGAGCAGAACCAGCTGCTGCCGAAGAAGATCGAGGCGTTGACTGCCCGGCGCGTCGTCGCTGTGTCGGCTGGAGTCGACCACAGCCTCGCCCTCACCGCCGACGGCGCCGTCTGGAGCTGGGGCCGTGGATTTAGTGGCCACGGCGACGCGCAGAGCCAGCTGCTGCCGAAGAAGGTCGAGGCTTTGGCTGGCCAGCGCGTCGTCGCCGTGTCGGCAGGAGAGCGTCACAGCCTCGCCCTCACCGCCGACGGCGCGGTCTTTGCCTGGGGCAACGGCGAGCACGGCTGCCTAGGCCACGGAGAGGACCTGTCGAACCAGCTGCTGCCCAAGAAGATCGAGGCGTGGGCGCCGGGGCAATGAGAAGTCCCAGACACGAGACACCCAGTGTCCTCTCATTGCTCGCGCCTCAGTCGGCCTCCGCCTCCTCTTCATGTTCAAACCAACTCTGACTGAGGCGACGATACGCTGAGGCGACGTCCGACGATACGTGTGTTATGTGATATGTGCTAGCAGCGCAGGCGCGGAGGCGGCCGCAGCCACTGCGAGTCTGCGTGCAGCGTGGCAGTACACACGGTATATACAATAAAGCGGCGAGGGCGCGGCGAGGCCGGCGCACCGGCGCTCGGCCCCTGAGCCCTGTCACGTCGTGACGTGGAGCGCGTCGACGAGCAGGCCGAGCCTCCCGTTGCCTGCGATAGATCTAAGAGTCGCGTGCAGTACCTCGTGGAGTGCCCGAAGATGGCCGAGTCGGCCACTCGAGCGCCTTGAGCAGCAGGCCGCGCGTAGACTCCCCGATTGATTGGCTACGCGAAAAAAAAGAATTTTGACCCAGCCACACTGGGCACCGGCATGCACATGCACGGAAGGCGAGCAATCTCCTGTGCGTGCATGCTCGCGGGCGGCGCTTCGACGAGGCCAGCGCTCGTCACATTCGACTGCACCGGAACGCTCTTCGAGCCGGTCGCTCGCATCGGCGTCCTCTACAAGCGCGCCGCCGTTGCCGAGGCGTGGAAGGCGTCCCTCGCACGCGCTGTAGCCGCCGAGGCGCTGGACGAGGACGCGCTCTCCGCCGCCTTTCGCAGCGCGTTCGCTGAGGCTGACCGCGAGCGGCCCTGCTTCGGCGCTGGCGCCTGCTCCTCTGAGGACTGGTGGCACCCAGTGGTTGAGCGGACCTTTGCGGCGGCGGCTGCAGAGAGCGCCGGCTGCTCGGAAGACGCGCTGCGTCCGCTCCTGCCGGGCGCCTTCCGGACGCTCTACCACGAGACGTTTGTCTCGCGCGCCGGGTGGAGGCTCCGGCCACACGCCGCCGACACGCTCTCG